GCTCCCGGAAAAAGTCCAGCGAATATGGGTCAACTGCTTGACAAAAAGATATAGTCGGAAGCTGGCTTCCAGAAGTTTCTCCATGGAACGGAAGAGGGGGCTGATAAATTGTATGCAATTTATATATACAAGCGTGACTGACATGCAAATTGTGATAAATTAGAGGGAAAAACTGGGAATGGGGCGGGAGATGGGGTATGGGAGATGGGGTAGTATTGCCACCCCTTTTTTCGAAACACCCCCAACTGAGCCAACTTTGATAAGCAAACTTGCTTGACATCGAGCTGGCGATGAAGTATGGGTTAACTCAACTCGACTGATTTTGCTGCTGCTTTGGCTTTCACTCGTCTGGCAATTTGATAAAGTTATTACTCGATGCACAGTGGGTTGGGGGAAGTCGGTCAGCTTAATTAAGCCAATGAATTATATGGTCCACTCTGCACTTGATGCGGCTGCCTCCTGCTTATGCATTCATTTTGAACTCTAATGAAGCGTAATTGATGCAGTTTCTGCATTATAAACATGTGATATCCACTGATGAGTACGATGAGTCGCTTTAATCAAATGAAATGCGACGACGGCTTTTGCTGTCGGCCAATTACACAAACACGCCGGGTGAAAAAGTCAAGTGCAGAAAATGCCCAGGGAATATTAAATAAATACACCCAAGGTGTTCTATCCACCTGCTTATCTATCATCAATTTAAAAGGAATCAATTTAAAAGTAATCAATTTAAAAGGAATCCACAAACAAATTGCTTTTTCTGTGGTTGTGGTTTAATTAAATTCACACTTTTAATTAATTTTTCTGCAGTCTTGATTTGCACACAAGATTTTATTAAATATGAATTCCTTGCTAAATTCTTGAATTTATTTTTTGTGTTACATTTTTGAAGTTATTTGGCACAAAAAGCTTTAAAGGCGTGTAATTTACAAAACTAAATGAAACTATTTAATAAATAATAAATATACATAGCTGTAATATAATAATAGTTATGCATCATTTCTATATTATAGTAAGTGCAAAAATTCGTACTTATAAACCACGCAAAATATTTTATTAGTTTCAATAAAATGCCTCTGGTTAAATAAAAAAAAAATTAAAAGTATTAAGCTTTCACCTTGGTATTTAATCAATCAGTTGTGGTAATCTGGATTTTAAATTCTAATATAATAAAATGTTTCAAAATTATCTAAATAAAGAAAAGATTGTTGATAAACCGCTTAAATGCTCAGTTATTGATTTCATAACATTTTTATGTTAAACTCAATTTCAATAAATTCCAAAGCAAATACCCTTAATTGGGGGATTATCTTTGGCATTTCACAAAAATTATTAAATTAAAAGATCTCAGTATGGAATCTACTCTATATTGGCCTGAGTCTAAAAATATTGAATATTGGTTTAGATAAAGTAAACAATGAAACCTTGCTAAATTTTCCCCAAACTCTTTTTGGTATTTCAGAGAAAGCCTGGCCCAAATTACTCTCTCTGTGATAACCTGCTTCTTAATCTTTCGAAATAAGCACGAGGCCCCCCAATATTTTGAGATGTTCCCTGCCTAATGAGAAACCCAACGTCATTCACTTAATTTGACAGCCTGATTCGCACGAAGGCATCCGTCCATCCGCCCACCCAAATTGATAACTCTAATTAATGCAATTGAAACAAATTTCTAGCATGCAAATGAACGGCACACATCGAGATGGAGTGCTCTGGCTTTTGGGCATGTGCTGGATGCTTGGACATGCCTCATTAGCCAAAGTGCCACAAACTTTGGCTCCTCTAATTGAATTAACACTAATGAGGTCTCTCCCACACTCTCGAACTCTGTGAATCACCCGATACCAGTGAGGTGTGAATTCCCCATCTGAAAGGAGAGCATCCTTTTTGCTTTATTATTCATGCAATCCCCCCTCCCCTCGTTACTTGACGCGATAGTAAATTTAGCAAAAACTAAACCGATTGGGGAAGCTTGATGTGCAGGGCTGTCAATCAATCAATTTGGGCAGTCAGCCGTGGACAGGGTTGCCACCGCGCCGTTATGGTTGGTTTGAACATACGAGATTTAAGTTTGCCAACAGCCAAAACGAGTTGTAAATGCATTGAGCCAAAGCACTTAAATTCCTCGGTCGCATCCTAATTGATACACAAATGTGGAAGGCTCAACCATATTTGGGAATTACACATTCCAAAAGCGGATTTTAATGAAATAGAAAATACCTTCTATTTATTTCATGAATGAGAGGAAAGAATTATTGAGATGGCAAACTCAATAGCATGGGATTATAAATATATGAAAGACTTTTTTAAAACAAAGCCATCAAAGCCTTTTTACTTGGTTGGATTGAAAATAATTGCCTTTAATTGTTTAGAATGATGGAACATTTTGAACCAGAGTTGATAGATAGCTTTTGGGAGCTGGGTAAATATTTAAACAGTATCTGTTTTCCCAACCAGCATTCATATTTCATTCCCCCGATTGGCCGTTTCCACCTGTTGGGCATCAGAAATACAATTATCAACAAAACCAAATCAATATCTGATTTCGTTGGAGAAGACCAGAGTTACAGACCCTCCAAATGCCATCAATCATGCGATAGACGCCGCATGACATAACCGCTCCAGCTGTGTCTGGATTTGCCTTCATCTGTATCTGGATTTGTATCTGGAGTTTTGGCTGTATCTGTGGGCTGTTGCTGCCGTATAAAACTAAACCGTACGTGTGTATATGCATCAATTAAGCTTTTATTCTAACATAACAATTTTGAATGTGGCCGAAACCAGTTTTGAGTGCTGCCAAGAGGGCCCGAGCCTACGCAACCAGTCGCAGAAGTATCTTTCGGATAGCTGTGAATAGTGGCCAAGAGAGGCTACAAAAAACCCACAAAAAATACAAACGATTTGGACCGTCAACGTCATCAATGAATAACGAGTGAGTACATGAATTCATCCCGCTCCTTGCTATGCAAATCCCATTTTGGCAGTGGGCCTTAAGACTTGGTAATAAATTCCACAATAGACTGTTGATATTTTGATGGACCCGGCCACAAATCAGCCACATTAACTGGCACGAGACACCATTCAAATGTTAATTAATCAAGAGCCATAACGAGTTTTCCTTTGGCAGATTCTACTTCCAACGGATTGACTGAGGTTAGTTCGCCGGATGAGTTGACAATTCGCGGTGAGTGCGGCATCAGAAGCCGGAAAAAATCACCTATTCCTTGACTCCTGGCCAAGTATATGTGAACTGATCTCTTTGAGCACGAAAACAAAAAGCGATGAGAAACAGGTTGCGGCTACCGCCGAAGAAGAAGAAGAGGATGCGTTCTGGCCAGGATGATGGCCGCAGTTGAGCTGACTGCTGGTGGTGGATTGCTCTTGGCCTGGTCGAGACAGCTGCAAAGCCGACAAGAGAGCCAAGCGCAATCAAACTCATTTCTTGCACGGAAAATTGTTTTACCAATACATTGTCACAAATTTTAAATGAAAACAAAGTAAATTAATTCAATAGAATATTACATTTCATTAGAAATTTATTATGATTATTTATGATTTTATTGATATTAATATCCTTTTACAAACGCAATACTGTTGAAAAAGGGTATCACTACTCCTTAATTTACAGGTCAATAAACAAATAAAAACAGTATCAAATTAATAATTAGAACAGGCAAACAATCAATTAATATTAGATCCAAAAAACTTTGGAAAGGGTGTCGATTACGGATCCATTGTTGCTACATACAAAGTATAATTTGTTCTTTTCAGTGCATCAGCCGCAAGAAGAGTGGAAAAAGGTTGGTAACACGCCGAGAGAAAGAGAGAGAAAGGAGGGAACGCGGAGCAGTAGCAGAAAACCAGTCTTACAACAATTTTTCAGCTACTTGCCACTGGCAGGCTCGAAATGGACTTGACTTGACTCTTCCAATTGCACCAAGCACACCGCATTCCAACTAGAAAATCATAAAACATAAATGTTCGAGGGTATCTTTCCCGGCGAACAAAACAAAGGCGCTGTTAATGGCCTCGAAAATATCTTAATAAATTGGCAATCCGACAAAATCGTCGAGTGAATAATGTATCCAGCAGATAAGTTTGTCCCGGCCTGCTGAAATATTTATGCGCCAGACAAAGGGCGCAGTTACAAAGATACGAACAAACGCAAAAGCAAACTCCCATGGACAAGTGTGAAATGCAAGGAAAACAAAGCATTTGCAATGCTCAGATACAGATACATTTGTATCTCGTGCAGGCATTTGATTCCCCGATTCCGATTTCGGTTATGTTTTGACCCGACTCTCCACCTCCTTGCTCTCTCCGTCTTTGCGCCCCACGTTTTAATGTGACTTTTATTGCGCTTCCTCCTTTTGTTGTCTCATTTGGTATTCAGCTTTATGTTGGTTTAGAGCTCCGCGTTTGTATCTTTTGTGGCGACTCTGAACTTTAACAGTTGCACTGTGCGAACGGAACGCTTAGGCTTCGGCTCCGGCTTCACTGGCCAACTGTTTGGGCCAACTGCTAATTGGAGCTGGCCAAGAAATAGGCCCAGGGCTTAAAGGCCCAATTGGACCTCTATTTTATTGCCGAAGCCGTAGAGTTAAAAGCGGTTAAAAGCAATTAGGAGCGCCTCAACTCGAAAATATTTCAAAGGGAATCAAAACTTCCCTATTTTCCTTAAAAAAAACTATTTTTAAGAAGTGAAAGCCACAAACTAGTATATTTATGGGATGAGATAGATATTCTCAATATATAGTACACATATAAGCTAAAATATGGACGAAATAGTAAACCCCCAGTATACGTTTCGCAGGAGTGTTTATCTTTAAATCCGAAATATGTCTAAAAGAGTTGAGGCTTCCCGCCGGAACGACACCTGTCATATGTCATACATCAGGTGTCGTGTGTCGCACAATCCCCATTAGAATGCAGCCGCATGGCGCCCACAAGGACATATATACACGCGGATGTGTCCTGGCTGGAACGTGTGAACTTACAGGCCTTTGTTTGCTCTGCTTCTGAATTCCACGCGTCGGTGGCCAATAATCCGCTTTAGCTGCACGGCTGCATTGTTAAATATTTATCATATATGGCATTTAAAATCGCGCATCCGTGTGTTTTCCTCTTGCACCTTGTGTTTGTATTATTAACACAATATATTATAATTAGCACTGGCCAGTTTGCCGGCCTCACTTTTGCACTGTGATTAAACTATTTGGATTCGGGGAATTCCGTGTGATATAGTAAACAGACTATAACCCCGACCGGTAGCTAAGCTCTCTGTTTTCACGGTGGGTGGCGAAAGGGAGGGTGGTGTTTTGCTGGGAAAAGCCAACGCACTTTTCGGAAAAGAGCAGGCGAAGGAAAGACCGCGCGCAAAAATTCACAGAGAGCGGAGTGCTGGCGAAAAACCGGTAATTTCGACCGTCGAGGTTGTTACTTTGTGTTTGCGTTTGCCTTTTGCTTTGCTGGCTTTGCATTTGTCTTTGATTGTGACTTTGCGGAGACGCGCACGCGTAGCCCCGAGCGGAAAACAATGCCTTCTAGTTGGCCAGCGCTCAAACGCGTCCAATCGGTCCGGAGTCGCAGCGTTAACTGGCAAACAAAACCAGAAACAGAAGTTGGTTTCCTAGCTGGAACCGAACCGAAGCCAGTTCGTGCATCTGGTGGGCACTTTCGGTGGTGGTTTTCTGCGGGAGGGTGACTCCGTGTTGCTGCAACATCGCCGAGGCACACGCAACATGTTGCTGAGGCACAGGATTGCCATCAAACTTGGACTATTTAGGATATAAGAAAACTGTGTTCGAGGAATGGCTTTATCCTTAAATCCTTATTATATATCCTATCCTTATTATATATCGTTATTAATCAGTAATATAAAGTGGTATTCATTTTAGTAATTAAGATTTATATCCCATTTACAGCGCCGGATTACCACGAACTGTTTTCATATCGCATCAAAACCAACCTATTTTATACAGCTAAATTATTATTTGAAATTTTGAAATGTTTTCTCGTCTTCCAGTTCACTAAATAAACTAAATATGCACAGTGATAAATGGTGTAATCATTGTTAAGACATCTGTATGAATAAATGACAAAATAACACAAAGTATTCTGAGGGAAAATAAAAGAATTTGGCAAGAAGTTCAGTAATTCCCAGCAAATTGGAGTTTATTTACCAAATCTAAAATTCCTTGCCCTATCAACAATAGCTCAACAAAAGATAAGATGTAGATATATTCTCAAACATTAAAGGCATTTGTATGCAAATCCTAAACACCACTCATCACTGATAAGTTATTAGCATAAAACAAATAATTTCCATTAAGTGAATATGTATATTTTGTAAAACTCATCACATTTTAAGCCCAAGTTAATATTTAATATTGGAATAGATGTAGTTTTGGTATGTTTATTGCATTGTGCACATTAAAAGTGCAGGAGAGTATCTATATATAAAAATAATCAAATATTGTTGGTACTATGAGATTCAAATGTCAAGACCCGTTTAACTCAATAGATTCAATTACGAACACATTAAGGTTAAACAATGATTCCATTTAAGTCGTGTAGGTATTCCAGAAATTTTCATGTCCCTCGCTTGCTGTTCGATTAGATTTCAATTTATCAAATTATGCAAAACATTTAGTGCAATTTAGTTGGCAAGGTCCGGCAGAATTAGAATACATATGGCAGGAGCCAGAAACCAAACACGCTTTTGGCCCACAAGGACAACAGCCGGTGGTAATGGTAATGCAGGTCGATGTGTGTGTTAGCCCGAAATTTATAGGTTCCACTTTGTGTGTGTGTGTGTGTGGGGGCAGGAAGGTGTTGGCCAAGACAACGTCGCTCGGAAAACATCTCGTCTTTGGCCAGCTGGCGTGGTCCGAATCCGCCCGAACAGGACCGAAACGAGGGGATTGGAGGGTCGGGAAACAGGGAGGCTTCTTGCATGTAATTGACATTGGCCCCTTGCGTTTGATTAATTGCATTTGGTTGGGGCTCTTCCAAGCCATTGACTCGGAATGCTCCGAATTCCGCCCATTGATCTGTATCTATGTAACCTTCAAGCCATGTGTAGATGCATCCGTAATCTGTAACCGTTTCAATTTGTATCTGTGTGCTTTTTGCGGGGCAATAAATTCGACAAGTTCGACATGCTTTCCAATTACTGGGCGCTGGCATTAAACAAATGCAGCTCACTTGACACACGTCGAAAGCCGGCAGCTCTTTTCGGAGATCGGAGCTAGGAACCGGGACTGCAGGTCGAAGGAGGGTCGAAGTATAACGTCCTGCAGGATCCAGCGAACCAACCAAGCAGGGCAAACACTGTCAAAAAAAGTAAACTAAATTCAAAGTTTTTGGCATACGCTTCTGTGCGATTCATTCCCAAACTATAAAAGAATAACTTGCAATTTAAAAATATATGAAAATAATAATTTAAAACCAAGGAGCTTTACGAGTGCCACAAGTAAAAGATACTGGACAACCAAATTCAATATAAATATGCCCCAGCACACTTTGGCACACAATTGTGGCTTAGGTGGCGCCATCTGCCGAACTGCAGGGCTAACACTATATGCAGCACCCCCCCCCATTAACATTTTATTCGCTATCTTCTGCTTTCTAAAACATAATTAAAACTTAAATTCCTAATATCTTCCAAAATAATGGTTCGATTTGCAAAGTCTGAGTCGATAGATATTGACCATGCCATACCATAAATTAAATACGATATCACTTACCCCTTGAAGTGTAGCACACTAAAAAAGGACAAAAGGTAAGGCGAAAAGAGAGACAGACAGACAGACTTCTTGATCCTGATTAAGAATAAAGAATATAAAGTATATTTATATAATAACAGAAATTTATGTTATCGGACTGATTTTGTACTTATAACTTTATTATACCCTTGCAGAGGGTATTATAATTTTGGTCAAAAGTGTGCAACGCAGTGAAGGAGACATCTCCGACCCTATAAAGTATATATATCTTGATCAGGATCACCTCCTGAGTTGATAAGCCATGTCCGTCTGTCCGTCTGTCTGTTTCTACGCAAACTAGTCTCTCAGTTTTAAAGCTATCGAATTGAAACTTGCACACACCCTTCTTCCTTTGCACGCAGTATATAGTCGGAACGGCCGAACTATATCCTATAGCTGCCATATAACTGATTGATCGGAAATGCCATAACTTTGGTGTTTGTAAAGTTAGAAAGTTTGAATTTTCTATGGGTTTATATTTGGCTAATCAATCCTACCACCAAATGTCATAAGGATCGGCCGACTATATCCTATAGCTGCCATATAACTGATTGATCGGAAATGCCATAACTTTGGTGTTTGTAAAGTTAGGAAGTTGGGATTTTTTATGAGTATTAAGAATGCATCATATGAATAATTTTGGAGAATATAATGTACATAATATTCTGCAAGGGTATATCAACTTCGGCTCCGCCCGAAGTTAGCTTTCCTTTCTTGTTTTTAATCAAACATCGATGAGTAATGTAAGTTTAAGTTCTGTGGAAATTGTAACGATTAGAAGTAAATAAATTTTAACTTAGGAAATTTTGGTAAAATCGCACATTTGTGTTTTGGTTAAATTCCCTACTACAATGTAAAAACGATATTATACAATGTCCTGATTGGTTTCTCTCACTGCAGGACGGAGACACTTGTCTCTGCATTTGGTTTATGCAAGTGCCGCCTGCGAGCGATATAAAAAGCCCGGAAAGGAGGAAAAGTAAGGGGCTGGGGCTGCCAGGCTGCCGCTTCACTGAACCTCGGTGGGAGCCAGGGGTTGTGGGCGGGGTCAGGGGGTGCTGCTGCGAACCAAGAAACATAACTCAACAATGCAAAGGACGAACGGCGAGCAAAAAGCGCAAGCCGAGGAGCCACAGGCTGCATCTTCAGAGGAGCAATTTGAGCGTTCTTACGCTCGACAAACGCTGCCCATGCATAGTTTATGATCCCCCCTGCCCCCCTTCTAGCCAGCTCATATCTATGCATTTTGCTGAATTAAACCAACTGCACAGAATGTCGCAGATAATTCAATGCACCTACACAGTACAGTTTTATGGCCCTCGCCCTCCGACGGAGTCGAAAAGTGCCACGAGGGTAATTTAAAAATCCATTTGTGTTTTGAGATTTCGCCGGCAGGACCAGGGAAATGGAAGCTGGCCAACAATTGCGGTGAGCGGTGTAGAAAAAATACGAAATGGCTAGCTCTGGGTGGCGTGGCTGGGAAATTGGCCAGAGCGGAAAATGGAAAATGCGAACGTCGAGCGGCTGACTAGATGACTGCCCGACTTGACTGCGTGACACAATTTCAATTTGCATTGACAGCATGAATTATAGCAAATAATCCCCGAAGGCAAATGCGATTTTAGTGATGCCAAGAGCTCCGGTTTCCCCGATCCCAGATCCCAGTTTCCCAGTGTTCAGTTTGCAGACCCGGGTCAAACGATTTCCTGGAAGCAGCACCGCGAATCGGCAGTCCAGCTGTTATTGATATGGAAATGATGCGCACACCCAAAAATAGAAAGTGGCCCAAGGAAAAACAAGCAAACTTGCGAAAATAAAGCAGAGCAGGACGCGGCGAAACGAAATAAAATAAAACAGCGACAATAAAAGCAAATAAAATTTAAATTTTATGCAGCGGCAGGAGCAGTTAATTTTGCTCAACAGAATAGCTAAACGAGCGCAGAAAACCAAACAAAAAAAGGCACTCCTAGACAGATAGCAAAGGAGGAAGAGAGATAGGCATAGTAAAAGGAAGGAAAATAGGGAAAATCGTCAAAAGTTGGAGAGAAAGCTAATGAGGAAAAAACCAAAAGCACAAATATGAGTGGGGCTATAGATAACCAGAAATGCTGAACAAGTTAAATATAGCAATTCAAATTCAAATGTCACAAGTAATTTGCTCGACGTGCAGCAAACTCGGTTAAGCATTCAATTCATGTCATTTAAAGCCCAATAAGCTACGAAAATATATTACGTACGGTGAATCGAATTGGGAGCCAATTTCATTTGTATCGCTTGTTCTCACCAAACTGAAAACTCTTCGAAAAATAAAAATTTACAAACTTTACAAATACCTTGGAATATTATATGCCTTCACAAAAGTATACTATGATATTTTGAATATTCGAAAGGTTTGACAAGTCTTCATAATCTTTAAAATTATCGTTTTCCATGTGTTACCTTTACTTACGCGCAGCACAGAATAAAAATCTAAATTTCCACAATATTCTAACAATTAAAAATTTAAGATTTATTCCATTAAAGGTTTTAAAATAACTTTACCTTCTCATATATTCCATTTTAGCTGTAAGCTTCATTTTATCAGAGAGAAATTCCCGATTTATTTTATGATTTTAAATGAAAAAAATCTACCAAGAAAATTATATTATTTATTCTTACCAATTTTCCTTAGCTTTCCGTTAAATAAAAAGCATTGCCTCATTCTTCATAGTTTCGAACTAATTATTTTCCCAATTTTCAGTGGCTTCCTGACACGAAAAACTCTTTACAATTATACTTCCCTGCAAAACATGGAAATGCGAACACTCCGCT